CTTCATCCTAATGTCATGTACAGAAGAGGTAAGTCAATTTTGACCTCACAAACAATCAAGGCAGAATTAAAAAGTAACAAAATTCCTTTACTGAATTTTGGCCAACATTCTTCCCTTAAGAGTCATCTAGTTTAGTTCAACTATCATTTTTCTAGTACCAAGTGGGGGATAAGGGGTGAATTCTCCTTGTTTTGCTTGATTTTAATATCTTAAACTAGTTAAAACTTATGTCATGAATTCAAACGCAGATGATACCAGGTGCTAATTCAATTTACCACATATTATGGAATTAACATTAATTCCATTTATAATTTTACGCGCGCGCGAGTTTCCTCCTTCCTTTCACACTCGTGCGTGTGCGCGCGCGTATTTTCAACCTTTCACTCACAGCTGAACATCAGTAAGCTCCTTTTTTTGCTGATTAACTCATGATAGATTTTGAATTTTCCCCGCGCGTTTCGCAAAACAAAAAGTTGTTTCGGTCCTCAACCTGAGTAGACGGGCAACATTTATTCCGTGCCCTTAATCCATATTATCTTATTTTTCAACAATGTCGACTGCACCCTCTACCAAAATGCTGCCAACAGGTCGGACCTTTTTCTCCGTTTTCCACTGGAAGATGTTTTAGAGATACGCGACACTGTCGCGAGCAAAAGTTCGTATGCAACTAATGGCGTATTTTTATCCCTCGACAGGGCCCTTAAGTATAGGCAGGGATGTCCTACTGAACGAACAAATTGCTAATCAAGGTCAGGACCTTTTTCTCCGTTTTTTAAAGACGTTTTAGAGACACACGACACTCGTCGGCAGAAACTTCGTGTTCAACAGGTGACTTAAACTTACCCCTGGCTTCGAACCAAATAATACAGGCAGGGATAGTTTACCTTTGAACAAATATTTTTTCGTCTTTCTCTTTGGGCTCGCCGTAAATCATTCTACAAGACCATGCTTAGTTTCTATCGGCTAGATGCCCCCATCCAGAACATTTACCAGCGGCCAATTATTACCTTTGAACAAATATTTTCGTCTTTCTCTTTGGGCTCGCCGTGAACCATTCTACAAGACCATGCTTTTTTTTTTCCCCGTAGATGCCCCACACAGTCCAGAGCATTTTCAATTCAATGTTTACCGAACATTCTTTATAACTCTGAACCTGTACATTAAAAAAATATAATCACTCAAACCAAAATATCCACAGTAGTACTCCTTTCTGTCTGTGCGCACATTCTTTTTCCGAACTGTAAAAACTTTCTTTTTTTCCGCCTTTGGCCATCTCATTTCTATTTTGGCGCGGAACATTTTTCAATTTTCATTGATTTTGGGATGAGTTACTCGTTACTGTTTAATTAAAAGTTTTGTTTACTCATGTTTTAAAAAAATTTCGGCTATCATTTTATATTTTATTTTATGCACTTGTTGATTGACCCCTTTCCTCTACTGTTCATTCACGCATTTTATTTTTTTTTTTTTTGTAGACTCGGTAGTTTAGTGTGGTGTCTGGCACAAGGCCCTTAGTAATAAACCAACGCTGCACGCTGCCGGGTCTTCAATATACCAAGTATATTTTTACAATCATGTTTTTTTTTTTACACAAAAAAAAAAAAAATAGGTGGTTGCACTATACACAGATAATTTTTTTTGAAGAGGTTAAAATTTAGGTATTTTCTGTGACTGTTTGCACCATACACAGGTAAATCTTTTCTGGAGGGGTCAAAATTCATGCAAAGATTCAGGGGTCACACTATACATGAAGTTGGCTTATACACAATTATATACAGTACTGTAACTAAATGCTTTTTGTAATTAATTTTTTTAACCTAATCCATTAATATATACATGAATCATAATTCATGCTATTTCACCTAATATTGTGACTGGCATTTATCGTAGGTATTAGTAATGAAAACATTTTGGTCAATCTTTCTTGAGGATTTAATACCATATTTCATATTATCACACTTTGATAATGACAACTCCTCATCCCAACATTCATTTAAAATACTGCCTCCTTAGGAATAATCCTGTGTACATTTAAAGATACTTTTAGCAAAAGTGATAACAACAACAAAGATGAGGACAATAGTCCACATGTAAATAGTCTAAATTATAATAACTCATCCCAGAAATTTAGACAGAAATTAAACTTGTGAACATCTCTAAAGATATTTTCTAACTTCTGCACTAATTTGGTTTTTCAGATTGTTATTGTCATCATCACGATCTATTTTCTAATGTTCATAGTTTGGATTTGATAGATCTTTTGAGACATCATTCTGTTGTAGGTCAATATTTTGATACCTGCAAATATGAATAATAGTTACTGCTATGCTTAACAGGTTTTTGATTGTACCCTATTATTACCACAGGCCTGTGCTATTTATCATTCTTCTTATAATACATTCTTGTCATTTCTAAATGATTCAAGTTCATTGATGAATCTAACTGTAGGTGTCTTCTTGATGGATTCATTTTGCATAAACTCTTCTCAAGCTTTATGTACAGCATTTAAATTTTCTGCCAAACATTCAGAGATAGAGCTTAGCTCCAATGTAGATGCTGTACCATTTATTACATTTGACAAAATTGAATTTCTTACTAAAACTGTTTAGGTGAAAATTCACTAAATTGTGTAAAGAATTTATTGCTGCCACAGTACAAGACAAAGTTGTTTTCATGTTACACTTGTTTTTTTTTCAACAATGCTTTTCATACTAATGTTCAATATATCATTGACTCTTTTGCAGTTCCCATTACTCTGTAGACAATGTGCTGCCACGTGATGTGTCTGATGCCAATCATGTTTCCTAAATCTTTCATTATTAAGTTCATCTCTGTTGTCCATGTGGAATGATCAGATTATATGAAAATAAGTAATCCTGTTGATAAACAAAGCATGTATAATACATGCTTTGATAGGATTACTTATGATGGTCTCTTCTTTATTATTTATAATTTCTGTGCAATTCTGCAAGTATAAAAAAAAAAAAAATAGGTACCATACCAGGTTTTCAAATCCACTGTTATAATCTCATTAAATGAATATGTGAAAGGCAGAGACATGACAGGGTGAGGCTGAGACTTTTGGTTCTTCCAAAAAGTGTAGTTGGTTCTGTATAAATCTTCACCCCTATAATAAAATCATATGTGCAGATAATCCGGCTGTTCAGTTCTGAGAACTGAACTGCAACACCCTTATACATTGAAAATGATGGAAGAATCCATTATATGCACAGGCATAGTCATCAAACAAGTTTCAGTGGATGAGATGCCTTCCTCATCACTCAACCCCCAAAAGCCTGATGGTACCCAATGATAGTTTAAAGTCCTACATAGCTTGTGCAACACTATCTGAACTTTCAGTATCAGAAAGCCTATATCTAATGAGAAGAACTGTAAAGAAATAATTGGAGGCTGCCCTTACACACTTTTATACTAATGTCCCTCCAACTTCTCAAATTTCCTCTTTTCTAGATCATCATCAACTGCCTTATCACTTTCTCCTTAATCATGTCCACAGTCTGAAATTTCTTCACTTTCAATTAGACAGCCAGGAGTTGCAGGGGACCACATCTGGTCGGTAGTGAGGCTGACTGATCTGAGTATTGTGACATTTTGCCAAAAAATCCTGCATGAGAGGTGAAGAATGGAAGGTTCTTGGTCATTATGAAGGAAACAGAGTCACACAGTACACAAGAACACTCATTAGCATCTCATTGCATGTGAAGTAGTCTCCTCTGATAGGTTGTCAAGTGAGATCAAAAGTGTCCAAGTAGTTCTCAAGATATTCAAAATGGCCAGATACCGTCCAGACAATGAGGATCATAGTTTCAAATGGCAATGCTTGAATATATAGTTTTTCTTATCAAAATAAACATAGTCCTGTCATACGATGATTAGGTGTCATTTTTTTTTCTGGCTGAAAAATAAATGTGTCTCCAGACTTGAGTAACATGTAATTAGTGTTTCATCACAAAGCTTCATATTGATCTTTCTTTCCCGTAATGCATCTACTGAGCTTGGAGTATAGGGGATTTATGACTTAATAGACAGCAATGCAGTTGTAATTGAACAATCACTTTTCTTTCACACAGACTATAACATTAAATAAGTGATTCTAGTCCAAGCAGGATATCATTTTACGAGACTTGTCAGCTTTAACTACCTTTTCATTGACAATAGGATCAAATTAATAAGGCTATCAATTGCTAATTGACAAAATTAATCGGATATGTCATAATATATGTGCTTAGTTGAGAACAAAAGGTTAATCAATATCTTGATAATTCAACCTTTTCACACAGTACTAGTTTTTAAATACACTTCAATGTTGCAATGTGAATATCAAAATATTCTCTTATAAAGAGGAAAGACTTTAAACAGAAACTTTTATTATTTGCAGATGTTTTTAGAAGCAACAAAGCAGTATGGCCTTTAAGAGTTTGATTATTATACAATAATTTATTAAAACTTGTTTTAATCTTGGTTGTTATAGAAACAATGTTTTGGCCAGGTACCATTTGACCTTGTTTAGGTACAAGCAAAAGAAAAAAAAACACCACAGGGCTGAAATAACAAAAGATTCAATTAATACAAGATGTCCCATTTTATGGATATATAAATAAGAACAACAGAACAGAAGAATGGCGGTTACATGACTAAAAGATTTTTGTCTATATATCAACTGAAGTGCCAAAAGAAATTAAAAACTATTACCAACTCATTTCACTTGATTGATTCGTTTTCTACGGGTTATCAACCCTTTGCAGGTTATTTAAAGTCAAAAAATATTTTTAGATTGTATAATGTTTTTTTTTGGAGATAATGATTTAGTGATACAAGTTTTACTAATTAACCCATATCTGGGGGGAAGAGGTGGATTCATACCTTTCCCAAGGATATTTGCATATAAGTGAATATACAAAACCCAACTGGAATTGGAACTTGGTTTTCTGATTAACAATGCCTAGCCATTATACATTACACCACCCACACATCCAAACTTACAGCACCTGGTAACCCCAAATGGTTACTCATCTAAGTACTGACCGGGCTCACTGTTGCTTAACTTCAGTGATCATATGGGAACTGGTATTTCAACAAGATGTGGCTGTAAGCCTTACTTCACTTGAATAATAGTAGTCATGTGGAGTCTATAAGGTGCTAGAATTGTGTGTTTGCATGTATATTTTATAATGGCTGGCTACTCATTTCTGAGACACCTATCTACTCAGGTGGTTAACCAATCCCTGTTGCAGACACCTGCTCAGGCACATTTGTGTTTGTTTAACACCCACAGAGCCCTACCTGTGGTTCATACTGTAACTATGCTGAGTGGATCTTAGTTACAACTTCTGGGTTTGAATGAGGCCAGTATGCTGAAACTTTTGGTCACAATGACTTATGACTTCATACTAGTACAAATGGCTTCTGAATAGTTCCAGCTACCCAATTTCACTCACAAGCCTTGGATCAACACATGATGTGATTTTCAAGTATGCTGGTATCGCCTCCAAACCAAAAACATGAAGAACTCGCCTTCCTAAGAAGTCAACTATGGTGAAATTCAAACCTAGGTCACATGGTTGGAAAGCAAACATTCTGATCCAGGGGTTCTCAACCAGGCGGAATTTTATGTTTTTTGGGGGGTGGGGGAGGAGGAGTCTTTTACTTTTTCTTGTTTTTTTTTTAGTTACAGAATTTTGTTTATTGAATTACATTACCCTGGCATTCTGTTGAACATTTTGTTTACTGAAGTGTGCTTCAGTTTATTTATTTAATAATTAGTTATAAATTAAAACAAATTACTGTACATGTATTCAAGTTTATTTGTCTATTGCTATGAAATTTTGTAAATTTCTCGATAAAAATAATCCATGCAAATGTATATGTTCTAATATAGAAAAGAATGAAGATTTTCAATAAAATATGCATATTATTTGGAATGCAGCTTTTGAGTCAGGCAATCTTGGAAAGTGGGGAGAATGGCATTCTGACTTATGATGAAATGGGTGTGTTGCACAAAAAAGGTTGAGAACCACTATTCTCATCAATTGTCCATGTATCCACACTCACACGCATTATATATATATATATATATATATATATGAATAAAGACCAAAGGGAAACTTATTTGAACTGTTTCGTCTTCTGATGGTCTTTCTCGAGGCAAATGTAACGATATTTTTTGCATTAAGTATTTAGAAACAAAAATAAAAATGTTAGTTTTTCAGAATTTTAAAATTTAACAATGCTCATAAATATACTCCAGGCTAACAGAAAGTCAAGATAAATAACTTAGCATTCTCCATAATTTAATATCTAATAAACGAAAGCAAATGTTTTGGAGAATTTTTTTTTTAATGTAATTATTATTTTCATTATTTTAGTTTGAGATTAATTTACATATTATAAATTTTAAATAATGGAAAAGTTTTAATTCAGCTGTTTTATTTTAATTTTCTGAAATTTCTATAGCCATGTATGTTGGTTTGGGAGAGGGGTGTATTTCTTTTAGGAAAGAAGATATTTGAAAAAAATCCAAGGTGCAGATTTACATTTTCGTAAGATTCAATAGCAGTACTCTCAAGCATTTTCTATCTAAGTAAGCTATATATATATATATATATATATATATATATATATACACACACACACACACACACACATAAAAAGTGAAAAAAGTAATGCATGTGGTTATTAACAGCAGATGATCAAGAAAGAAGCTGACCAAGCAAAAGGAAAATATTTTTTAAGAAATGGATTTTGAATCAAGGAATGTGCAAAAACCTCATACACTAACAAAGAAATAAAAAATAAATTACCTTTTCCTGAACGTTGATCATTTACAAAGTCTCCATGGTACACAGAGCCATCTGGCCAGTACATTGATCCTTTACCACATTTCCTGTTATCAACCACGTCTCCCTTGTAACGGCCACCACTCTTGTAATTAATTTCCACATTCTTTCCTGTTAGGGATTCAGTTTTAAAAGCAGAAGTACCAATTTTCAATGGGATATTTTCCATCTTGAAAACAAAAATTCAGCCAAGAACTAAATATCTGAAATAAAATAAAAACTTAATTTCAGCAACAGAACTAGTTCAAGGATTTTCATTGGTAGAAAACAAAAATATATGAAGATGTTCTTATTTCTTATTCTTGAAACCAGTTTAAAAAAATGACTTCAATCATTTTACTTCACAAAAATCTATTTTACAATATAAAATATGATGTGATATTTATATATTTATCAGTTACACAGCCTTATGACCTCTCCTAAACAATGAGATATTCCATCTTTAACATTTTTTTTATGCAACTCTATTAAGCAAACATTCTTATGACAATGGAAAGTCAGTAGGTGAGGTTAAGTTGCAATTACAATTTTATTAGTTTCTCTGGATATTTTTTCTTTTAAGGATTTGAAAACATTTTTCTTGCTTATATAGTTAATTATATAGATAAAATTCCTAAGTAATTTTTTGATGGTATGGGTAAATAAGTTTAACAATAAGAAGTAACAGCATTTTAAAGTCAGAATGGTTTTCAGTTGCACTTGCAATCAACAATTCTTTCTTCACTCTGTATTGTTGATTTACATTTCAATATGAAAAAGCATGTCTTTCATATGATCCTATTTACTTTTGTTTGCCCTGCACTTAATGAATATTTCTATTTTGTAAGCCAATTTGGTTTGTAACAAGGCATTTAAATACATGAAATTACAGAAGACTAATTTGGTGGGACTACTAATTGGATAAAAATTATTAAAATTCTCTGATTAGGTTGAATGGTTGAGAAGAAAATTAAAAACCAAACACAAAATTCATTTTAAAATAATAAAATGAAATTAACAGTTCCAAGGAGAATCAAACCCATATTTAACTAGATAAGATTCAGTAAAATTGAGCAAAACAAAGATTCCTAATACTATCAACTTTCCATCAATAAAAAAAAAAGATGATTCATGCATTGTCAAACTTTCTTGGATCTGAAGAAAATAAAATTTGAAATTTTGTTTATACTATGCTATCCAAAGAAAGTGTGTGTAGTCAAAGAAAATAATGATCTAAATTATTTTAGGCAAAGAAACAAAACATTTGTCTTGTGTGAGACCTCAATATTCAGGATTTATATAATTAACAGGTACTAACACCCCCGATCAGGTGTATCTGAGAACAACAGCAATTAAGAGGCACCTCAAAACACACAAATATATAAGACCCCAACCAGGACACTTGGATGGGGGTATAGCATCCCTAATAGAAGACATGATGCAAGCTTTTGAGCTTTTATGAAAGAACTTCGCCATGCTTGCAAATACAAACTTGACCCATACGGGTGAGTTATAAATTTAAGTAACAATAAATTTTCACTCAACACATTCAGGTTATTAAATAAAGGACTAAGCTTTTGCCCTAGTCCCCCAAGGTTTGATAAAGGCACCTTGGCAAAAGACCTGAAACCCTTCTTCAGAAGAATATGGCTAAAAGCCCAATGATCACACACCTTCCATACTTGATACATTAAAAGAGAAGGATACTACATACACCCCATAAAACACAGACATTACTATAAAAACATTTGAAATAGCCATAGAAAATGACAAAGAAAACAATAACACGTAAGCTGCCACGTAACAATATTACTGAAGGGGAACATATAGCCTTGACACGATGACACATAGAGATGACCTAATCATAACACAGGCTGACAAAGGGGGTGCCACAGTGATCTGGGGAATCAAAGAATACATTAAAGAGGCCAACAATCAGCTAGACAACAAAGAAACCTATAAAAGCTTACCTACAGATCCTCTTCCCGAATTAACTAGCTCACTAAACATAATGCTTCGCAACAATCTAATCGACAAGGAAACATGCACAACATATACACCCACAAACATCACACCTGCTCACTTCTATCTCCTTCCTAAAATACACAAAAGCAACAACCCAGGAAGGTCGGTCATTTCATCCTTCAACTGCAACACGACCAAAATTTCCAAATATGTAGATCATTACATACAACTCCTAGCTAAGGAAGTAAAATCCTACATCAGAGACACAACAGATTTACTGAACAAAATTAATCACATACAAAGTTCCAGAGAACGCTATTCTAGTGACTATTGATGCAAGATCACTTTATTCAAACATTAAACACATCAAAGGGCTAACTGCCCTTCAGGAAGCACTTACTAAAAGAAGAAAACAAGACCCACCCACAGAAGTTATCATAAAACTCATGGAGCATATTCTTACATTGAATACTTTCAACTTCAATGGAGCACACTACTTTCAAGTAAGAGGTTGTTCCATGGGCACGATTGCAGCTCCATCATATGCTACAATATTCATGGGAAAATTTGAGGAGACCCATATCTATTCCCTCATCAGTAGCGACTGCATATTCTATGCAAGATATATCGATGATATATTCTTTGCATAAATGGGCAGTGATGACAAACTTACCCAATTCCTCATGACCCTAAACACAGTGCACGACTCAATTAAGTTTGACTATGAAAAATCCACAAGATCGGTAACATTTTTAGACACATGTATTTACATAGATGAAAACAGGAAACTACAAATGACACTACATACTAAAATCACTGACACCCACAACTATCTACACTTTAAGTCTTCCCACCCTAAACACCTCAAAGAGAACCTTCCCTATTCACAAGCACTTAGAAGGATATGTTCCAACAATGAAGAACTAAATAAACACATTGAAAATCTGGAGCATCAATTCACAACACAGGGCTATAAACAACACCTAATTAGGGAACAAATAAATAAAGCAATTTCCACACCTAGAGAAGACACCCTAATGTACAAGATTAAAAATAAACCCAGCCGCATTCCTCTAGTAACCACTTTCAACCTTACTCTGCCTCCATTATCCCAAATAATCAAAAGTTACTGGGAAATAATACATCTCAAACCAGACCTAAAAAAATTGTTTGAGGAAATATCTAGCATATCGTAGACCTAAGAACCTAAAAGAAATCATAGGTAGTAACCAGATTTCAGGGGACAAGGTAATTCGTAATAAACCAACAACAAAAACAACAGGATTTTCCCAACCATGTAACAACAAAAG